CCTTAACAACATGCTTTAACTTTTGGTGAGCTCTGAAGTGATCAGGCAGTGGGACTAGATGATCTCTTCCAGATGGAACTATTCTGTTCTATTCTATTTTATTTGCAGCTCTGGGCAGGAAAGGATCACCTATGATGCTATGTTGCCTCCACCAGCAGGCATCTACACAATACACAGTCTAGTGGGGCATGCACAGCTAGATCATGGACCCTGTGTGGACAATATCCAACCTATATGGATCCATATAGTATCTACCCCATGCTTCCCAGGGACTTTGAAGTGCAACCTAAAGTGCAGCAACACCCTATAACAAAGAACTCCGTTACAAATGCCTCAAAGTTTACACCACACTGCAGGAGATAACCAGGAAAGATAAAGGTCATCTTTTGTCTTTCCCATGTCTTGCCCCAGGAAGGATTTCAATACCACAGGAAGTGGCCCCATAGCTGTGCTATTGACATAGGGGGAAAAAAAAAGGCTAAATGTGCTGTAGGACTGCAGAGCAGACACAACCAAAAGTTTCTTTCTCTTGAAAGAACCAACTGTTGAACATTTTAAGATGGAGCACATAAACCAATCTCTTTGGTATTTTCTCAATAACCTGTAAAAGCACCTTCACCTCCTGCACATCTGTATCCATTCAGGGTCATTTCCTTTGGGGGACAGGGAGAACAGATCTTTTTTGTTCCAGCAGGCCAATAACAGAAAACTCAAGGCAGAATTAACACTATATACAGTCTAAAGACAGTGCAAACAAATATTAAAATACTCACTGGGTGATCAGAGGAATCCTCGGCATTTCTTTGGACGTTGAGAAAGTGCCAATCTCTGCCACGCTGCCTGTGAAGTACACACCAGCCACGCTGGTCACCTGGTTCCCAGGGAATTCAAACAGCACCTTCTCCTTGCCATGTCGACTGGCCCAGTACCACGCTTGGCCTCCAATGAGCAGCCCTCCACCCGCCTTTACAAAGCCAACCAGGTCTTTTGCTTGTGTGCTGTAGGCATCCATGCAGTAGACCCCCAGGGAAGAGCTGAGCTCTGCCCCAGCCTGCACTTTGGTGCCAGCCCTGAGCAGCAGCTGGGAGAGGGAATCCAAATGAGGATGGACCCCAACCAGGGCCTCGGGGGAGGGTTTGAGCCACTTCACAGCATTTCTGAGGAACTGGGAAAACTTGGAGTCCTTCAAGATTCCCTCATGGGAAACAACCACCATCCGGCCCTTCCCATAACAAGATGCTGCAATCAGCACTTGCCCATTGGTGCTCACCAGCACTGGGAAGGTTTCATCTCCAATGAGCAACAGCTCACATGGATGATAGCTTGTTGTGAACTCAAATGAATTAACATCTTTCACCAGAGAGGCATAGGCTGCTGTGGAATCCATCTGATAGACCTCTCTTTAAAGAGTACTGAAAAAAGAAGAAAGGTAAGCACTTTTTAGATTAGAAGCCACATTTGAAATGGTTAACAGATATGAGCTATTGAGATACATACCAGCTATTCTGTCCTACAGTCTCAGGAGGAATCTGCATCCACAAGTGATGCACAGATATATAGCCCAGCAGTAAGGTGAGCCAGAAAAACATGACAGGAATGAGGAAACTGAATAGCTGCTAGTCACACCATAACCCCAACAGACATGTTAGGAAATGTACATTGAAGACATAATTCCAGTTAAGCCTTTCTATATCCTTCTGCCTATGAATGACTGAATTGTTGGGAAACTGCTTTACTAGCACTAACATGCCTGGTGTTGTAGAAGAACAATCCAAATCATTTTTTAATTAGATAATACGTAGACTTCAGATGACTAGGTCTAGCCACAAGCTATTAGGTTTCCACAGCTCAATTTTAAGAGGAACTCTTGCATCTCAAGGAAGTAAAGACCTTCAGTTATCTCTAAGAGCTTAGGGCTTTGTTATACCCCACTGGCAGAGGTGGAACCAGTGACACTCATGCCATTCTACACCTGCTGTCACTGGGTTGCACCAAATGAAAGCTGTATAGGCTTACTCTGTATATGCCTTATACACAGAGTAAAGAATTTCTTGTTAGTCTCATTAGTGCCTTGGCTGAGTGATTACTATACAGGAAAAATATTAACCCAGATACATTGATACTAACATATATAATAGAAATTATTCAATCATTGCTAAATCCCAATAATGTTATAGTTAAAATTTATATCCACAGGTTCTCCAGTATCTAACCATTTCCTCAGTGTTGGGTCCTGATGTTCAGTCATGCCAGTTTTTTCTTAGAAGAGATGATTTGCCATCAATATCCTCAGTTGTTTGCTGGGAGGAATTCAACAGAGGGAAGGAGAGGGGAGTTCTTCCTTCCTCCTTAATCTTAGGTCCCCTCGGAGTTATTTTTATACATCTTAAAAACAACTTGTTTCTTGCTGGCCCATGGGTCAGTTACATGATGACTACTTAGTAATGTTAGACCTCTAACATATCTGATAAATATGCAGAACCAGTGTTAAGCTATAGGAGACAGCCCTCCCAACTCTTTCCTGACCCGTATAAATTTCTGAAGTTATATCTAAAAGAGACCAGTGGTTGCTCAAGACAGTTACTGGTGAGTCCTGAGCTGTTAAATTAGTACAAGGCCTGTGGCTTGCCTCTAGCAATAACAACAACATATTTACTGGGCAACAGAGAAGATCAAACCCCCTCCAGAACATTATCTACGGGGTGCTGAAGAACTAGACAGACTCAGGCTTTGCAAGGCTGTGTGCTTAGGAACATGCCTTCTGGCATAAGCAGTGCAGTCTCATTGCCTCCCCACCCATTTACCTGAACACTAGGATAGATAACTGCGTCCATTCATGACCAGTGTATCTCCTCTGGGGCTACACTGGTGTAGCAGGTTCCACATTTCTCCACCTGTCCAGACAGAGAAACTAACCAGCAGGGTAAAGCTGTGTTAATATAATTTTTTAAAAAAATACAATCCCGCACCAGGTGCCACCTTCTTGCATAAGCTGACCTAGCAAGATTCTGGGTGCCTTCCTGAATCAGCAAGGGGACAGGGCAGAGACTTAGAGATATGGCCCATGGGGAGAAGGAATAGGGTGCTATTTCACATCTGCCCCAGGTTGGAGTGAATGGAAACTCTAGCCATTTAATATTTGCTTCCTATAACTTCAGTGAAGCACCTAGCTGATCTCAAGCTAGTGACTTCACTGACTCACTCCAACTCCCTGGGAGTGGAGAACACGTTGGCAAAATAGCCAACCTGTATAGTTTTCTGCTGGCAGTTTCAGCTGAAAGGCAGGGTCGTGAGTGCACCAAAAATGCATTTAAGTGCACTTATATCTCATCTGGGGCCTCCACCCAGAACCCTTGCCCATGGGCCCAGGCCTAGACAATCACCTCCCAGGCTGAAACTCTTTGATTAGGTAAATGCTTTTGCTTTTTTGACTATTCAGTCAGGTGGCTTTGGTGAACATGGAAATATAGAATCATAGCATCACAGACTGCTTTGGGTTAGAAAGGACCTTAAAGATCATCC